TTTATATGCACATATCTATTGATTGGTTGAAGATACAGTCTCCAAATTTGGAATACGTAACGGAATTTGGAACAAAAATAAGTTTGCCAAATTATATTGTAATCGGTTCAGATTTGGATATAGCTCTCATATATATTTTCGACCGATTTCGTTCATTTGATGCCTCAAACACAATATGAATGTTCGATTCCAATGAAATTTGGAATGTGTGACGGGATTTAATCCGAAAATAAATTTGTCAAATTATATTGAAATCGGTTCAGATTTGTATGTAGCTCCCATATACATTTTCGGCCGATTTCAATCATTTGATGCACCAAACGCGCTATGTATACCCAATTTCAACGAAATTTGAAACGTGTGATAGATTTTATCTAAAAAATTGATTTCCCAAATTATATTGAAATCGGTTCAGATTTGGATATAGCTCCCATATACATTTTCGGTCGATTCCATGTATTTGATGACCAAAAACGATATGAATTTCCAATTGTAATAAAATTTAAAATAAGTAACGGAATTGGGAGCCAAAATGAATTTGTCAAATTAAATTGAAATCGGTTCAGATTTGTATATAGCTTCCATATATATTTTCGACCGATTTCATGTATTTGATGCACCAAACACGATATGTATCTCTAATTTCAATGAAATTTGGAATGTGTAGCGGAAATTAAAACAAATATACATTTGCCAAATTATATTGTAATCGGTTCAGATTTGGATATAGCTCCCATATATATTTTCGACCGATTTCATGTATTTTATGCACCATACACTATATGTATGTTCGATTCCAAAGAAATTTGGAATATGTAATGTATGGATTTTGATTAGAAAATAAATTAGTCAAATTATATTAAAATCGGTTCAGGTTTGGATATAGCTCCCATATATATTTTCCGCCGATTTCACATATTTGATGCACAAAACACGATACGTATTTTCGATTCCAATGAAATTCGGCATGAGTGGCTAAATTTGATACAAAAATAAATTTGACAAATTATATTCAAATACGCTCAGATTTGATTATAGCTCCCATATATATACTCAGCCGATTTCACATATTTGATGCACCCAAAGCGAGAGACACAAAATCTGGCACCAGAAAAAATTGCCAAATTATATTGAAATCAGTTGAGGTTTGGATATAGCTAACATATATATTTCGGCCGATTTCATATATGTTATGCACCAAACATGATACATATGACCGATACCAATGAAATTCAGAATGTGTGGCGGAATTTGGTTACAATAATAAATGTGACAAATTAATTGGAAATTAGTTAAGATTTGGATATAGCTCCCATATATATATTATCGGCCGATTTCACATATTTGACGCATCAACTTCAATGAAATGTGAAAGGTGTGGCGGAATTTGGTGTAAAAGTAATTTTTTAAAATTATATTTAAATCGGATTAGATTGGGATATGATTTTAATAAGAACCATTGACACACAACGCCTTAGGCTAACACTAAAAAACAACACAAGAATTGATTTGAAATACGCTTATTACGGCGAAGTATGTTGCTATCTCGAATTCACTAATTACAATAGAAATGCCACTCAACTTCAAAAGATTGCAGCTTGGTATTTGCTATGAAATAAATAAATCCGAAGGACAAACCCTTCGTGTATGTATGTCATTTTGGTTATTTACGCATTAAAGTAGTGCAATAATTTTTTTTTTAATTTGACCATTTCGAACCCATTGCAAACTTAATATGACTTTAGACATTTCCATTGACAACTTTGATTAAAATCTTCGAAACACTTCATATCGAGAAGAGCCCTTTTTAAGAGTAATATATGAAATACTTAACTTATAACGACAATATTCAGGCAGAATGATTGGTTTCTATTATGAACTCAAATACCAAATCCTTAAAAAATGCCATCGAAAGCTGTGACTCAAATCATCAAGTACAATATCAGTTCATAAGGGTACCTCCAAAATTAGGAATAAAGAGATCTATACGTATTGTATTTGAAACAAATCTCTTGGAAAATATGGCTTAAATCGATAAAATTTCAAATATCGGGAAGAATATATTTCCGATTTAAGGTTAATACGATCCCAATATAATCAACAAAAATATCTCATATTTTTTCAATAGATTAATAAACAGCTTTGATGTTATTATGGCGCCCAACGTGGTCAGTGAATGTAGAACATCAAATTATTGGAATTCACCAGGTAATTTTCATATTGAAGTTTAATTTATTTTGAAATAAATAGTTCAAGGATTGTTCTAAATGGATTGTTTAAAAGAAGTTTTTTTTTTTTCAATTTTAATTCATGGGATTTACAAATGAAAAAACTCAAAATATTTTCAAATTATTAATCATTACTTAAATATTTGAAATTGTAACTGAAAAGGTGTGATAGAAATTTCCGAAAACATCGCCTTATTTCGAACCTCCTACCAAAAGTCGACCCTAAATCAAAATTTTAAGACTCTAGGTCTGGCCATTTTGTCTGGGCCTTGATGAATTAGTCAGCCAGTCTACTTTTTATACCTTCACAGTGGATAATTAGCATTTGAGGTCTCTTTGCACCAAATTAGATTCAGGACATTTGGAGTCGATCTAGGAGCGTCCATTCGTCTGTCTGTCGAAGGAGTATTCCCTCACCAAAGGGTCATCTAATTCCATTCAGACTTGGCACGTCTCAATATTTCTATCAGCACCAGATCTGTTATACATATGGTAGAGATCGAACTATTTCTTCTGGTACCTACCCCACATAGGGTTCAAGATTTTGAAAAACAAAACGATTATAAAATCCGAAATAAGTATCCGATTCTCTTCACACATCACAATATTTTTATTAACCCAAGATCTGGTGTGAAGATGGAATATTATCAGTTCACTCCTTTTGGTAAATATATATAAATTACTTGTAGGTCTCCGTCTTCTTATAGCCTCCATACAACGGTTTTCATTTATACGGTATTTTTCTAATTTTTTTTTAAATATTTCAGGTTCCTTCCAAATAGTGGAGAACATTAAAAGTTCGGCCGGCAAAACTTAGGTTTTTACTTGTTTTTATACCCTCCACCATACTATGAAGGGTATATTAATTCTGTTATCCCGTTTGTAACTCCTCGAAATACTCATGTCAGACCCAACAAAGTATATATATTCTTGATCAGCGTAAAGTTCTAAGTCGATTTAGCGATGTCCGTCTGTCTGTCTGTCTGTTTGTCTGTCTATTTGTCAGTCTGTCTGTCTGTCAATTTGTCAGTCTGTCCGTCTGTCTGTTGTAAACACGCTATCTTTTGAATGAATTGAGATAGATGGCAAAAATTTTGCACACATATTTATTTTTCCAGTAGGCAGGTTAAGTTCGTAAATGGGCCATGTAGGTCCACGTTTTCATATAGCCCCCATATAACGGTACCTCCCTATATTCGGTATTTTGATGATTTTAGCGACATTATTCACCGGAATTGTTTCAAATTTAGTATTTGAAGTTCCAAATATATACTACACCTTAAGATAGAAAATTGTCTGTGCAAGTCCATGTTTTCGTATAGCCCCCACATAACGGTACCTCCCGATATTCGGTATTTTGATGATTTTAGCGACATTATTCACGGGAATTGTTTCAAATTTGGTATTTGAAGTTCAAAATGGATACTACACCCTAAGATAGAAAATTGTCTGTGTAGGTCCACGTCTTTGTATAGCCCCCATATAACGGTACCTCCCTATATTCGGTATTTTGATGATTTTAGCGACATTATTCACCGGAATTGTTTCAAAATTGGTATTTGAAGTTCGTTATAGGAACTACAGTCTGTGACAGAAAATTGTGTGTGCGGGTCCAGGTATTTTGACGATTTTAGGTACAATACCCAACGAAACTGTTTGAGATGTGGTATTTGAAGTTCGTAATGGATGCTACAGCCTGTGACAGAAAATTATCTATGCTGGTCCAGGTCTTCGCACAGCTCCAATTTAACGGCACCTCCTTACGATATTTTGATAATTTTAGCTACATTATTCACCGATTATTTCAAGTTTCGAATTTGAATACGGTAATGGCTTATGACAAACAATGCCTATGTATGTCCACGTCGTATAGGCCCCAATATAACGGCTATATTCGGTATTTTTAAAATTTTAACAGAATTTTTTAAGGATTTTATTTTTTGAAAATTTCCAAATTCGTTGCAAATGGTGGAGGGTATTAAAAGTTCGGCCCTTACCGCTTTTTAACTTGTTTTTTTTTTCTTTTTTAAAAAATTTTTCTATAGTTTTTAAAAATCATCCTTTAGTAAAATTATGCATCGCAATACTCTAAGGGATTCGTTCAATCCATTTAAAGGATATCACCGACTTTACGATAGGCCACGCCCGACGACTCCGCACGCCGGTAGCCTTTGCTTACTTGTTTTAATATTATGCAGGATAAAAAATTTGCCTCGAAAGTGTGGCAGATTTAATTTATTGCACATGAATTGAATCTTTCTTGTCCTATTAAAAACACATTTAAAGTCTATTGTTATTGGAATGATTCTCAATGTCTTGCAACAATTTTGTGAAGATGCAGGTCTGAACTTTGAGCTTTTAATTGAAACACTATTTTTCACAATTTTCTTTTGCAATATGCACACATTTTTTATCATATATATGAGAAACTTATTCAATTTCTTTTAAATCTGAAAGATAATTTATTAGTCGTTTGCTCCAAATGGCTTTGACACGGAACATTTATATTGGGGTAAAAGCAATGAACTATATCACATGATTTATTCTGCAGTTTTATATATTTTTTTGTTTATATCAGCATTTTGAGTAGCTTAAAGGCCATTAACCCTATCAGGTAAATGAAAGATAATTCTTTAAAACTTTTATCATACAATGGCTTTTTTTAATTTAATCGTTTTTACAACAGTTTTACAACACAAACTCAATCACATCTTATTATAAATCATTCAATATTTCGGTTTTATTGCAATCCTTCCAAGGAATTACACCCACCTTTACTCTTTAGCAGTTGCTGCACTTTTTATTAAAAATTCCTTTTATTTTGTATTTTATAATGATTTCTTTTTAAATATATATAATTTTTCTTTATTATATGCAACCGTTCAATTTAAATCGATTCGGGTGTCGCATACGTCCGTTGCATTGCGCGCCACGCTGAGCTCTAAGTATTCGTCAGCGACCAAATGCCTTTTTTACAAAACAGAAATTGCATTCAATCACACTTGGCTTTTATTTCAGCGTCAGTGGCGGCGTCAATTGTTTACAAACACATGTAAAACGCTTTTCAGTACACGGCAATTGGCAAATGAAAGCACCTCAAAAAAACAAATTGCCATTGTGCTTTTCATCAATATTCTTTGAAAAGCAAAAGCAAAACCAACAAATTTTCTTTGCTTTCTTCGTATTGTTGTTGGCTGCAGCTGCTGCTGCGAGAAAAAAATTCCCAATCAAGACGATCGGCAAGAAACAGGATTATGGATGGGTACAATGTGTCCATCATACACAAACCAACGAACCGGATTGTAAATCACAAAGATGGGTACTGGAGTAATGCACTCCAAACCAGGGCAGTGGGAGACAAGACAATGAAAACGCCCATTCATCCCTCCATCAAAAATGTTGCACATCGTCGACACTGTACTGTAGTGCGGTGTCATGCCCAGAACTGCAAAAGTTTGATGACCCCATCAGAATTTTTGTGCATTTTTTTTTTTTTTGGCAAACATGTTTCGAATTAAACAAAATGCAAACAGTAATTGGTGGTTAATTGAGCGTGTTTACACTCGAAAAAATTAATTTCTCATAAGTGGGCAATGACCTCCTACCTCATGAAGAGGGTATATTTTGATTTTGTTTAAGTTTTGCAACATCTCAAAATTAAATTTATTACTGCTCTGTAACAGAAATTTAAACATTTTTACTATAAAAGACCGATTTTTATACCCTACACCACAAAGGGGTCAGGGTATTATGTCTTTGTGCATTTGTTTGTAACAGGCAAAAGGAAACGAGATAGACCCACAGTTCCTTTTGATGATCTGCATAGAATCACTTTCTGAGTTGATTGCATGTCAGTCGGTCTGTCCATGTATTCTTGTGAACAAAATGCAGGTCGCATTTATTATCCGATTGAGATGAAATTTTCAAAACAACATTTGTTTGGCCCAAGGACGAACCCTATTGAAATTGAAAAATTAGATATAGCTCCCATATATATCTTCGTCCGATTTGTTTTTATTGTGCACCAAGCGTGTAATATCAGCCCGAATAGTATGGAATTTTGGAGATACAACCAAATTAGGCCTGAAAATAAGTATGCCAAATTTGATCGAAATCGGTTCAGATATACATAGCTATAGCTCCCATATGTATTGTTCATCCGATTTGTTATTTTTGTCCTCCGCATCTGTAATATGCACAATATTTGGGGAAATATATCAAATGCAGCTCAGAAATACCTTTGCTAAATTTTATCCAGATCGGTTCCGATTTGGATACAGCTCCCATACATAATTTCGTCCGATTTACCTTTTATTGTGCACCAAACGTCTAATATTTGCCGGTTGATCGGCTCAGATATAGCTATAGTTCCCATATATATTGTTCATCCGATTTGTTATATTTGTTACCCACAGCCGTAATATGCACTCCGTAACAACGATATTCAGGGAAATATAACAAATACAGCTCAGAAATATCTTTGCCAAATTTTATCGAAATCGGTTCAGATTTGGATATAGCTCCCATATATATCTTTATCTGATTTCAAATTAATTTTGCACCAAATGGGCAATACAAGTCCGAATTTAAAAGATACGAATGCTTCGGCATATTTAGTCCTTTGAATTTTAAATTATAATTATAATCATAGGGTGTATGATAGAATTCTCCCATAAAAACTTTTAATTGTTATGTGGAGCTCAACTAAATTAGCAAAGTGGTGTAGGGTATCATAAAATCGGCCCCGCCCGACTTTAGGACTTTCTATACTGGTTTAATAAACAGAATGATGTATTACAAAGATGTAGGTTAGGTTTCTTAGAGGTGCTTAAGTTGTCTTTCGAATAATCGACTTCTAATATTAAAAAATTTAAAGAATGAAGTCTGCTTTTGCCGATTTTATACTATTCATACTATAACATTATATATTTTTGTGGACTTTTCATGTTTATTCGGCTCAAATAATATACGGGTTTTAGTTTTGAAAGGTCTCAAATCGATTTTTAGCTAATTGAACGAAATCGATAAGTTCAGAAATCGATTTTTTTTTTGTTGAAGACAAAACTCGAAAAATCTAAGCGATGACCTTTTGTGACTCCTCGAAGTGCTCATCTCAGATCTATATTCTTGTTCAGCGGAAATTTCTAAAACGATTTTTGCCCTGTTCGTCTGTTGCAATCGCGCTAGAGTCAAAACAAATAATAATAGGGAGCTAAAATTTTGCACAGATCAGTTTTTGTATGCAGGCAGATCTAGTACGAAGATGGGCTATATCGGCCCACGATATCGTATAGCCCCCATATAACGATACTCCCACATTTTCGGTGTTTTGATGAATTTAGCCACATTTTTCAATGGAGTTGTCTGAACTTCTACACAGGAGTTTCTTCTGGATACTTTACCTCCTGGATGAGAATTATCTATACAGATCCACGATATCGCATCCCCCATACATCGATATCACCCGATATTCGGTATTCGGATGATTTGTGCGACTGTATTCACCGGAATTGTTTCGAATTTCGTATTTGAAGTTCGTAAAAAACAGTTTTTTTTACATTTTTCAGGTTCCTTCCAATCGTGGAGGGTATTAAAAATTCGATGCATAATGAAGCGGCATCCAATTTTTCAGCCCTAACTATTTCAACACCTCCATATGAAAACCCTAGAAACCAACTGTGACCTCAATATCAATTTTCAGGATTTCAGTTCTTTAATTTCCCCCTTTACCAAATCTAGTATCATTTAGTACAAATATAGTACACATTTCCAAAACCACGTACATATCTCAATTTCAGATACCATCAGACCTCATTTACCCAATACCAATTTTTGTACCATTCAGCACTTTTCGTACATTTAATGGAAACATTTCTGAAACCACCTTTATATGTCCACGCTACACATGAATAGCGACCCTAATACCAAATTCTACCAAATATACCCAATTATACATAATCTATTTGGTACATTTCTTGCACTTGTGGTGCATATTTCCAAAAACAACTTTAATTCTCAATCCTATACACTAACAGTGACCCTAATGCCTAGTTTCAGATTTTAAGCAATATCAGTACCATATAGTACTTTTTGTACGTTCGCTGAACGCATTTCCAAACCCAACTCTTTATTTTAACCCTACCCACTAGCAGAGATCCCAATAGCAATATGCTAAATTTCCAGATTAATCAGTTCAGCCAATACCAAATTATGTCAACACCACTTCCCACAATTATGTTTTATACGAAATTTGAGGATTTTAGCTCTATCCCTTTACAAAACACCAAACATGGTACCATTTAGTACTTTTCGTACATTTATAGTACACATTTCAGAACCGATCACCAACACTTACCTACAGCAACTCCAATACACATTTCTGCTCCATCCGTTCACGCAAAACCAAACTGTTCTAAATTTTGTACAGTTCGCACACTTAGTACACATTTCCTCTATTCGTTCACATAATGGAACAATTTTAGAAGTTAAGTACTATTTTAGAACTTTTCGACAACTTGAAGTTCGAATTTATTCTTACTCCAAATTTCAGAATTCTAACTCATTCCATTTGTCCAACACAAAGTAGTCAAATTTTTGTACATTTAAGTACTTTTCGTACCTTTTTAGTATGAATATCCAAAAACCCATCCTTATCTTACCCCTACCCACCAATATTGACTCACATGCAAAATTTCAAGATTCTAGCTTCAGCTGTTTCTCCTGGACGTTGATGAATCCGTCAGTCAGTTATTCATTTGTATATCTTGAACCATGGAGGGTATATAACGTTTGTCATACCATTTGTCATACCTTAAAATATAAAAATTTTATATATTCTATATATTCCCGATTAGCATACGTCTTGATCATCATATGTGCGTCTCTCCATCTGTGCAAATCTCTCTGACTTCCGAACAAAATTAAATAGATTTATGAAATTTTACAAAGAGTTATTTTTGGTTCGTAGAATTATTAGTTTTGAAAATGGGCTATACAAGTCCGCGTTTGGCATAACCTTTGATGTTTTGAGGGTTTTTTAATCAGAATTTTAAGCCGAGTTTAACTTTTTGTGTTCCTATTATGTAGGTAGCATCCTGCAGAGAATCTTATTTTTTTAATACCAAACACCAATTATAAATGTGTAAAATATACAAATGATTTTTTAAAAATTTTATATGACAAAATATTTGCAAGAGTATTTACGTGTTTTTTGTCCAATTAGTCTTGTACAATGTTTTCTGGTGTAAATATTAAAAATAACTAAAATTTAGCTGAAATTAAAATGTTCAACTATATATACCCCATGGCCATTAACTGTTAAAAACGTAATTTATTATTATAAAAATAATTCTGACATTGTCACGTTTAACAAATTTAGTTCATATAGAATTTTAAAATTATTTTTTTTTTTTAACTAGACATTCAGATTTTCTTTATGAAAATTTATTGAGAAGAACTATAATGAAAAGAAAAGGAAAATAAATTGCGATTAAACTAACAATGTGAATTTTGAGAAGGTTTTATTGAAAACAAGTTAAAAAGTATCAGTCGGTTTTTGCCGACAGATATATACCTTTAGCCAATGTTTAAAATATTTAGATATATTTTGACTTCTGTATGGGATTGGGCTAATATTGTCCGTTTCGTATGGGATCTCAATACATATGACATAAATATTGCCAGGTTTGAAAATTTTTTAGAGAATGCTAAAATGTGCGTGAGTTACCAGATATAGTCAACCGAAGTATTTCATTTTTCATTCATACCTCATCTAATACAAAACAAGTAAAAAAGGTGATAAGTTCGGCCGGGCCGAACTTTTAATACCCTCCACCATTTGGAAGGAACTTGAAAATTTTCCAAATAAAAGTCCGAAAACTACCACTTAATTGAAAACCGTTTTATGGGGACCATACGAAGAAGTGAACCTGCTTACGATTTTTTTGTAATATGGTATCAATTTCGAACTTCAAATATGAAAT